GTGACTGACACGCCCTTTCATCCACAGTGAACTAGAGTACATGGGTATCGATCTAGCGTACGGCAGCGTTTTGAGTGCAATCGATACCTATACTTTCTCAGTCACTCGAAACGCTGTCGTACGCTCAAAACGCTGACGCAAAGTCTGAACACACCCAAAGAGATAAGCATGTGCAGAAAATGCGAGGAAAAGGAGCGGCAGCTGGGACAAACATTGCGACTCTCACGCCAAGCTTGACTATCAATAAATTGGATTTATAATGATGATTTATAAGCTGTTCGAAAGGCTATATCCTCGCCACGCTGACTTTTGTATCTGGCCAAGCGCTCCCTAGTGGGAATGCTATCCTGTCTTTTCCTCTTTGCAAAAAACTGTGATTCTTTACCCTTTGTTTAATTTCTTCTGCCGGACGAGGCTGTTTAGTAAACTGTTCTTGTTGGCCTGACGTTTCGACCTTCTCATGTTCTTCAGAAACCGGAAAATGGCTTGAAGTTTTCTTTTTTTCTTTGTTTTTCTCCTACTATAGGCTGTCCTCCTTTCAGGGGAGCTGTTGAACCGCCGACAATTAGGGCATGGGAGAGGGAGGTGGCGGTCGTCGCCACCATTTGACTCTCGAGTCTGGAGAGCATTCACTCCATTTATATGCGTATAAATCGAATTCTTTTAGAACGGTATGTTGTGCAATAATTTGTTGGTTTTTGATGAATCCGAATTATTCTTTTCAAGCTGCTATTTCAGGGTTTATTCTACATATTATCTTTCGTGACAGCGGGACTTTTTCGCTTAGTCCTTCATTGGAAACAGAAATGGCATATCCGATTCCGTGCCACGCGTTCTACATTTGCTTTTGCTGATTTTGTATATATCGTGTGAGTTTGCCCTTTAAATCGTTTATCCAGCAGACTGTCATGCATGTTTGTTTGATCAGACCCAGGCTAGGGGAATCCCGCGCTATGCGCAATATTTTCCGGAGCTTTCCAATATTTGCTCAATTTTTCGTTCTCTGAATTTTTGAATGGTGAATGAAAAAAACTCGAGAAGCAGCATGTTGTTAGGAATTAAAAATATTACGAAATACTAACGTTGTACTATGTGCTAATTTAAACTATTATTTCAGGGATGACCATAATGTTGAAGAATTTCATCCGATCAAAACCACTCGTAGAAGTTTTCGTGGTCCTCCTTTGGTGAGTATTCCAAAAATATTCATTAGAAGGATAACACTATGAGAAGTGATTTACAATAAGGGAACAGAAAGAGTGTTTCCTGCAAACTATTTGATTTTTGAGCTCTGCTGCGCTTGGGGGGGGGAACAATTTGCACTTTCGCTGCTTCCCGTCGTTGCTTTGCAAGGATTTACAAGTAACTCCTATTAACTGCGGCGGAGTCACTTCATGGTTTCACCAGTTTTCACAAATCTTTTCTGAGAGATCGACACGAGAAGCGAAAAAACGAAAAGTGCAAAATGCCCCCCCCCCCCCCATCGCCCGAACGGCGCCAGCGATCGCTAGCCGACTCACTTTTTATTATGTTAAGTGACTGTAGCTACTGATGATAATAAGGAGTTGAAAACACATGCCTTTCACCTCTTTATGGTCCTATTTTTGCACTAATTATGAATTGTTTATTTTCTCTCGTCACAAAGAAAATATAGTTACACTTCTTTAAGCTGGTACCTCATGAGGATGGATCAATGCGAGAAGTTGATGAAGTGAGATGGTTTATTTACCGGAAGCTGCACTACATTTGGGTCGAGAAAGTGAAGAAGATCATTGATGATGACGAAAGAGATGGCCATTGGGTGACGCCTGGTGATGTATTTAGTCAAGTAAGTGATTCTTCTTCTACTGTTTCTCTCTTTTCAAGTTTAATTTGTTTGTGGTTCCTTTGTTATTCTGCTTACAAGGGAACCCCAACAGGTCGATCCGGCCATTCGTAATGAGATGTATATGTATGGACGTGTCTTGAGCCGCTGAATCCAAATCTGTTCTCCAAATTTGCGGAACGATTCTCTGAAGGGAGTTACGGACCCTTTAATCTTGGCTTGAGAAGGATAACTGCATGCGGCAAGCGGCCGATGGCCTAGTGGATATGCGCACTGCTTCAGAAACACGAGGTCGCATGTTGGAATCCTTGACTCTGAAAATTTTTTGCTTTTGTTTAAAACACTTGATATGAGCCACCAAAAAAACTTCTGTTCAGCCGTTTCGCCTAGTTTTTCGATTATTTGCCAACGGAAGGCGGGCGATTCTCTTTTTGTGACTTCTTTTGAAAACTTTTATCATAAGGCTAACCGTTTCCAGAGATTGCATCAATGAATGAGGATCTTAAGGTTTAGGAGCACATATGGTATTCTTCCACAAGAAACAATACAACTTCTCACAATGAGCACAGCGAATGAAAAAGTACTCTGCACACACGGTACAGTTACAATTCTCCACCACTCCAGAGGGGAAGCAGTACTGAAGAGGTGTTTCGAACTCACCAGGATGTGCAACTCACCAGGATGTGATGTTTCACAGGAACCGAAGTCCCTCAACAGATACGCCAGTACCAGCTTTGGGCAAAACATGTCGATAGAACAAGAAATCAACCGCGATTGCTTTATGCGGAATGCCACGTGTCGATAGATCACAATCATGAGGGCTGACCATATCTATCCGGCGCAGATCACGAAGACAGAATACTGTTGGAACCAAAAACAAAATTTAAGTACTGCTCCCCCGCTGGAGTGGTGGAGAATTGTAACTGTACCGTGTGTGCAGAGTACTTTTTCATTCGCTGTGCTCATTGTGAGAAGTTGTATTGTTTCTTGTGGAAGAATACCATATGTGCTCCTAAACCTTAAGATCCTCATTCATTGATGCAATCTCTGGAAACGGTTAGCCTTACGATAAAAGTTTTCAGAAGAAAGAGAATCGTCCGCCTTCCGTTGGCAAATAATCGAAAAACTAGGCGAAACGGCTGAACAGAAGTTTTTTGGTGGCTCATATCAAGTGTTTTAAACAAAAGCAAAAAATTTTCAGAGTCAAGGATTCCAAGCGACCTCGTGTTTCTGAAGCAGTGCGCATATCCACTAGGCCATCGGCCGCTTGCCGCATGCAGTTATCCTTCTCAAGTTGTGCAAACTGAGCCAAGATTAAAGGGTCCGTAACTCCCTTCAGAGAATCGTTCCGCAAATTTGGAGAACAGATTTGGATTCAGCGGCTCAAGACACGTCCATACATATACATCTCATTACGAATGGCCGGATCGACCTGTTGGGGTTCCCTTGTTAGCATAAAATTTGGGTGCGTTCATACCTTACCTCAGCTTACTGATCGAATGGGAAAGTATAGATATCGATCTAGCGTTTTGCGCGTAGGCCTGCGTTGGGAGACGGTAAAGAGGATCGTAATTCGCCGCACCGCCACGCGCGGCGATGGGCGCGGCGTTTTCATAACTCGTTTTAACCTGTCGAATGGAGCACCGGACTTCATGTAGACCCCGTCATCGTAGACACTCATTACTGTTTTCGGTCCTTAATTGCATGTTGTCGCCATCTACTGCCTGGAACCATCGTCCTTTGCAGACGAGACGTCGCACGCGACGCCCAGCAGCGCGGCGAATTACGATCCTCTTGTCACATACCCCTACTGCCCAAACAGGCAAAATGTCGCTAGTGGATTGAGGAGGATTTCAACTTATTTTTATTCATTTTTAGTCTCCTTCTCATGCGTTCCATGATGCCATCAAAAAGGGAACTGGTTACGATGACCATGAGGTAACTTCTTGGCGAACTCTTCTTTTATTATGCAAGTACTTAACCACATGTTAAGGTATCCCAACGTCTCGCCACTTACGGGTTAAATTCTATTGAAATAAAGCTTCGTCCCATACCAATGCTTCTATTTATGGAAGTGATTTCACCGTTTTATATTTTCCAGATATTCAGGTTAGTTTCGTTATATTTTGAAAGAATTGTTGCTTGCTGAAATAGAAGTTTTTCGCATTTCAGTGTTACTGTTTGGTATAATGACGAATATTGTTACTATGCTTCTGTTATTGTTATTATGTCAGTTTGTTCTATAATAATGGACGTTCTGCAGACAAGAGGACAGGAAAAACGGTAAAAGTTGACTTGCTTGACCACTCTTTGGTATTCTTCGATATTCACTTGCTTTATTATTTTGCTCAAAGGTCGTCGCTTCTGCTCGGTTTCATGATCGAATATATGTATTTAATTCAGGCTGCGAGCCATGGTTCATTCGAGCAGTGAAGTGGAAGTTATCAGGAATGGTGGATTTGTTACTCGAATCGACAGTGAACGAGTAAACTTTTAAGTCTTCTTCCATTTTAACTGGTCCGCAACTTAGGGAACGTTTTAGTTGGTCCCTGGTGATATTCTCTTGATTCCACCTCATGGCTTGTCTCCTTCAATGTGATGCTGTCCTTATGAACGGAACCGCCATAGTTAATGAGAGCATGTTAACTGGCGAATCAGTGCCAGTTACAAAGGTGAGATGCATTTTCATTCTCGTATTTGAAGGATCCAAGGCAGTTGGCACGATAAATCCCCCAAGACGAGTAGGATTAATACGCCTGGCAGGACGGAATTCCGCGACCCTGAGCAGGCGCTGCATAATGCCTTTTCCAAGGGACCCTTATAAGGGCCCTATCAAGCCACAACATACCGACCCAAACGCCCGCCACGCGGGAGACTGGCCAAGAGTCACCGCCGCGCTTGAAACTAGGTCACCGCGCGCGGCGAATACATGCTTCAACATGTTTGTATGTTAGAACATATTTACCTGTTTGGACATGTTCTTGGCAGGTGGAAGGTGAGGAAAAGAAAGAACGCTCAAACTAACCGTAATAGCGGTCATATCGATCGGAAGTTGGCAAAATGCCAGGTCAGGACTCACCGCCGCGCCACGCGACCAGGTGCCCGCCCGCCCACGAATGGGCGACCGTTCCTGACGCTCTAAGGCTGCGTTTATACTTTGCGGCAGCGTAGCGTAGCGCTTCCAGCGTACGCCAGCGGCAGTGCCGAAGAGAGGATGCATATCGATCTAGCTTCACCAGCGTCACCAGCGGCACGCTGGCGTAGCGAGGGCACGGGAAGCATAGCTATCGATCTAGCTTCACCAGCGTTTCTCGAGCGTTTCTCCAGCGGCACCAGCGTTTTGCTAGCGCTTGCAGCGGCAGGGAGTAGAGACTATGTGGCCGTGAGAGACGCGGAATCGACGTGTATTGTAGAGACCATGTGGCCGTCGGAGACGCAGAAGCGATGTGCATTGTAGAGACTATGTGGCCGTCGGAGACGCAGAAGCGATGTGCATTGTAGAGACTATGTGGCCGTCGGAGACGCAGAAGCGATGTGCATTGTAGAGACTAAGGGCGAGTGAGAGACGCGCAATCGATGTGTTTTGTACCCTCCAGCTCTCCCATAGTCTCTACTCCCCTGCCGCTGCAAACGCTAGCAAAACGCTGGTGAAACGCTGGAGAAACGCTGGCGTACGCTAGCGTACGCCAGCGTGCCGCTGGTGAAGCTAGATCGATATGCATCCTCTCGGCACTGCCGCTGGCGTACGCTGGAAGCGCTACGCTACGCTGCCGCAAAGTATAAACGCAGCCTAATCGATTCATTTGCTAAGCAAATTATGAAGCGAAGGGATTGGTATGAAGCGGCCGTGATGCTGCATGGATATATGAGTACACATATGCAGCCGTACCTTCGGTAGCGGTTATTGGCAAGATGCCTACAGGAAACTCGTCCAAAATTGATTTGAAACTCTTTCTTCGCAGGATTTTGACCGTTTCACTCCGTTCTTTCGCCATTTCCCCACTATATAGCGCCCTACTAGCATTTTAGGCCGAGCACCAAATCATCGTGCCAACTGCCTTTAACTAAAACTGTCATCTCCACAGCTTGTTTTTTACGCATAGCCCCTCCCCCTGAGTGAGACCACTCCAGTTGTTTGATGAGCTGATGATGTGAGAACACCTGTTGCTTGCTTTGACTGTTTTGACTTTTTTGTTATATCAACATTAATTTCCAGAGGGAGACGTGAGGCCGGCTTCATATTTTGGGTCACGGTTTTGAGCATTTTCGCGGGCAGTCGTGGAAGTGCTGACGTACGCGCAAAAATTAGATTAATGTTAAAATTTTCTAAGCAGTTAAAACTTTGCACTGACGTACTCTAGATCGATAATTGTACTTTGCTAATCGCCCGAAACGCTGCTGTGTGCTCAAAACGCTGACGCAGAGTGTGGAAGCAGCCTAACTGCCTTTTGTTCAGGTTGCTCTTACGGAGGATATTCGAGAGGAAAAGCATTTTTCCATTGAGAAGCACTCCAAACATGTGCTGTTCTGTGGAACGCAAGTCCTGCAGACGCGATATTACCGCGGCCAGAAAAGTCAAGGTGAGCAATCGCTCGCCGGTTCAACCACCGGTTTTGATTTGATTTGCTAGAATGCCATAGATCTACTCATTAGCACTTGACACTTAGATTTTTTTCGGACTTACGTACTCGTGTTTAAGGCAGTGGTATTGCGCACTGGGTTTTCCACTATGAAAGGGCAGCTAGTCAGGTCCATCATGTATCCTAAACCTGTCGATTTCCGTTTTACAAAGGATTTGTTCAAGGTATGTTGGCTAAAATTTGAGTTCCCTCTCATATATTCTATCTGCCTTATTATTTACCAGTTCAAATATTTAATTTTCCCAAAGCGGACGATTAATAGAGTAATTCAGTTTGTCGGATTTCTTGGCTGCATTTCTGGTTGTGGCTTCATCTATACCATCATTATTATGTTCCTGAGAGGAAGTACCTTGCGACGTGTTATAATTCGTGCCTTGGACATCATCACAATCACTGTTCCTCCTGCTTTGCCTGGTTGGCTCATTCCTCGTAGCTAATCAGCTTCTTCTTGAACAACTTGTATTGCAGCGGCTATGTCGGTTGGAATAATCAATGCACAGCTGAGACTGAAGAAAAAGGAAATATATTGTATTTCTCCATCTACCATCAATACATGTGGAGCAATCAATGTTGTACGTTTTTATTACGTTGACAAATTTTGTACACCTTTTTTAAGTCCCCGTTCGGATCATTTTTATTGATTTGTAGTAGAGAAAGTATTTCAGAAAACATGAAGCATTTCCAATTTAGGTTTGTTTCGACAAAACTGGAACATTAACTGAAGATGGTTTGGATTTCCACATTCTTCGAGGAGTATTGCCAGTAGATGGTGCGAATGGACCTGTTTTTACAACTGAAACAAGCCACATGGATCGTACGGAGTTGCCGTTGGAAGGAGAACTTGTAAATGCGATCGCCACGTGCCATTCCCTTACGAGGTACGATTTTTTTTCATGTTTCGCCACTCTGTAAAAATTGCTTCTGTGATTTGAAATTAGAAAAAAAAATTGAAAATCGCCGCCTGTTGCTCTGCACCAAATGATAGAACCATGTCGCGGCCAACATAAAAAAAGCGTTCATGCTTTGCGCTAGCGTTTTCAGCGGTTTGCCGCGACCAGGAAAGATATCGGCATAAGGGTTTGCGCGTTTCGCGGGTAGCTTTGAACTTTTCGAGGCCAGTCACTGCAAGCGCTAAGTCGATTTCTGTACTTTTCTAGTTGCTCAAAAGGCTGTCATACGCTTAAAGACAGCCCCCGCGCTCAAGTAGTACATGGTCGTCCTTCCTTGGGCAGGTAGTTCAGCCCCCAAGCTAGATACTATCTCACTCTCGCGACTCCTCAGCGAGCGAGGAGCGAGCTAGAACCGCTCAAAGTTCTAGTTCTAACGCCTGCTCAGTTGGACCGCCTCACTAGCTAGCTGCCCTCTGACGGAGAGCCGCTCAGTTGTTCCTTGTTGGGACGGCAGTCATTAATCGGAACTGCATGTATTTTTTGCTGACCGCGCTCGTGCTCGTAAATAATTCTGCTCTCCTTCATCACATTTTATTCATTGGGAGCACGTACAGTCAACAGCAACCCATCTCGTAAGGTAAAACGCGTAAAAATCACGAATGATGCAATTTCTGTGGTGCAAAAGCTCGACGCACTTCACTACACTAAAACATGCTCGCTACCGTAACCCTAAGTTCGGACGCCGGCTTTTTAAATGTTTCCTTTTCTTTTCAAGAGTTTTTCCTCTATGTTTCTGTTGTTTTTTGTTTTCTTTTCTTCGCATTCGATGATATCCACTAGATGTGACAAAGTGATTTGTGAGCCAGGGCTTGCACAGAGACCGCAGGGAGGTGTGACTGTCAGGGCGCGATTTTGTTTATGGTGTTCTTGAGGGCTCTTGTTTCTTTTTTCCTTCATTGAGGAATTACTTATCAGCTACTGTTTCATAATTGATCAGCAATTATCCTTGACACTTTTATCGCGGGAGCTGTCTTTAAAATTCTGACACGGAGCATAAGCACAGCCTAATGGTTTTCTAGGAAGGCTGCGATATCACTGTACTCTGAAATGTGGTCCATTCAGGATAAATGGTGTGTTGCATGGAGATCCGCTCGATCCTCATCCTTTTCCAGCAGACAGGATGGATTCTTGAGGAAGCTGGATCAGATGAGTCTGATCATGACGAAACGGAAATGTTCGACATGGTTCAGGTGATCTTTTAACCCAAATGTGCAAGTGTTGGCTACTAAAATATTTTTTGTTGCCTGTGATTTGATATTGATATGGTGATATTATATTCTATTTTCTTATTCACTGCTAATCAGGGTGTTGTATGTAGTTCATATAAGTTTTGTTGTTTTTAGCCAACAGTCGTGAAACCACCATCACGCGATAGCAAAGATGGCTGTGAAGAATATTCTGTTATCCGACAGTTCACTTTTAGGTAGTTTTTCCCCATTATTTCTAAACTGCTGAGCTGTTTTATGCCTTTGTTTTAATGCCGCGAATGTCTTCAAAGGCAGTAAGCACAGCCACTGGTGGAAGGGCTGCGTGAGGGCGTTAGGCCACACCCCACTCAGCACTTCCACCAGTAACGTTGGCGACAGCCGCCCGCCCCCAGCCACCGTGCCTACTGCTTTGAAACCTGATTAATCGAAAGTTATGCTGCCATGAGTTTTTGAATAACTTGTTAGTTGTTCGACTCTGACCGGTCATACCATCAACCCGCGCCTTGGCGACTGTGGTGAAGATGATGTCCTAGACCGTGGCGACGTTGTCGGAGCTGCTCGATGTTGGAGGTCTTCCAGATCGAGAGTACTGGTCTCCAGGTAGCTATCCATGGGTGACTCCATACTAGAAGTTTCGCAGCTGTTTGGAGGTGACATGAATTCCAAAGGTCTTCTCCAGTCAGGCTGCGACTGGAGATGACTTCATATTTTGGTGTACATGAAGGTGATGGGCGAGAGCCAGCTCCTGCTTATCGAGGAACATCTTGGGTATCTTCCCTGGTACTCGTATCCACGTCCTCTGTCTGGGCTGCGAAAACTTTGCTGATATGTGACTCGGTCGAAGTGACTTTTTTGCCCCCCCCCCTGTATATTTCGAAATTTTAAGTCCCTCGAACTGGAGCTGCTTCATCCTTTTTTGAATTGTTCCAGTGTTTTTATTCGTGATTGTTTTTATATTCTTATAGCTCGTCCCTTCAACGCATGTCTGTGATTGTGTTCAATCCTTCGAAGGACTCCCACTCAATGACCCTGTATTGCAAGGGAGCACCGGAAATGGTTCATTCGTTGTGCGATCCTGCTACTATTCCTGAAGATTACTTCGTAAGCCTGATTTCCACTGATGTTTTGTTCCATTTTCCCCACCTTGATTTTAAGGTGTGGTTATAGTTTGTTGTTGCAGGCTGTTGTCAATGAATACGCACAGCACGGTTTTCGTTTGATAGCTGTAGCGCGACGTTCCCTAAATCTCAATTTCAATAAGGCAGTCAAAGTTCCAAGAGATAAGGTAAGTAATTAGTGTTTTATTGAACGCTTATGTGGCCCCCGGTTCTGCGATTGTACTTGTAATGCAGCGTTCAGACTCGCGATGATGCGGTACCACTGAAGCAGGGCACGCCATCGCGTTGTGATCATTTCCTGAAAAATACGACCCCCCCATGCTACCTACCACTTTCCTAGATTTTTCCAACTTCCTACCACTTTTCCATTTTCCCCAGAAACTTTCGCTTTTCAGCCAAGGATTTTCAGTCGAGCGAGGGGGCGGTATAGGGGTATAGCAGTTGAAACAGGAAAACTTCTCAGATCTTCCCCAGCTTTTCCGAAATTTCCCGAAAATGTGATCATCACAACGATGATGTGCCCTTACTGTAAGAGCGCCCCAGTGCTATAGACGCAAGCGTAGCCGCAGAAGGGAATCGATCGTCGGTGGCCGCTTCCCTTTCGAGAGAGTATAGGGGAATAGGAGGGTAGACCTGGTTCGCTGCCTTCAGACCACCTGATACCCTGCTATCCATCTCTACACTCCCAAAGCACTAGCGGCCGATGCCGATCGATACCAGAATGTTTAATTAGTACCGTCATATTCCCCCATACTCTCTCAAACACAAGCAGCCGGCGCCGATCGATTCCGATATGCGGCTGCGCTCGCGTAGCTTTGAGCACTTTTGTAGGTGTAGCGCGTCGACGCGCGTCATCGCGAAGTCTGGAACTGCCTAATTGTGGCTCAAAAATTTCTAAAGCCATTTGAATTGGTAGACGAGAGTAAGTTGGTCATATTTCTAGTGTACTAATAAGTACGGGAAATTAGTGGGGATCCGCTGCCGTTTGAACGCATTATTCCTGCCACTTTTTTTCAATTCTTCAATAGTAAGATTGAAAAACGGAACGGGCTGGCTATCAAGATCATCTTCCCATTTTGATTTTTAAGGTGGAGTGCAAGCTCGAGCTTTTGGGTCTTGTTGCAATGGAGAATCGCATCAAGCCAGTTACTTTAGGAGTGATCAATCAGTTGAATCGGTGCGTTTGATCACATTTTGGTGCGAATGTTTTCAAGTGTTTCTGGTCATTTCTTCATTGGTGGCTGTTGTCTATAACAAGTTCAATAAAATTGTTTTCCTTCCAGCGCTCACATCAGAACTGTGATGGTGACGGGTGACAACTTGCTCACAGCGATGAGTGTTGCTCGAGAATGTGGAATAATAAGGCCGAACAAACGAGCTTTCCTCATTGAACATCGTCCAGGAGAAGTAGATTCATGCGGCAGAACGAAAATAATTATCAAACAAGTAACGGATTTAACCTTTCGATGACTGGGCCCGGAATCCTTCATCTTTTTCTTTGCAGTCCGTTTCCTCATCCGGCGACATACTAGAGGAAGACCCACTTTTCACAAAGGCTGAGGTAGATGTTGAACTTGGGAAGCTCATTCAGAGCAGCTACCATCTCGCTATTTCAGGTGATTTTTTCGAGTTAACGTTTGAAGGTTTTTTTTTCGAGGCAGTTTGGCGAGGGGGGGGGGAGAGGGCGTTCTTGCACTTTTGCTACCGAGCTTACAGGAGTTGACAGGAATTAACCAAGCTCTACGAGCTCATTTCAGCTTCACAGAAATTCACAGGTTCCACCACAGTGGGACTGTAAAGCAGAACTAACGAAGCAGCGAAAGTGCAGAATGCCCTCGCCGAGCTACGCCTTATTTTCTAAATAATATGTGGCATTTTCCCGCTGTTTAAATGTGTGGTACAAAGTGCCTTTGTCCAGGAGTAATGTGAGAAAATGGCGCGAAATAGGAATATACAGGGTGACCAAAAAGTTCTGGCAATTTTTCGAAATACTTTGGAATTATAGAAAAACCATTAATTAACTTAATCAACTAAACTTTCGGAAATCTTCACTGAATCAGTAGCAATAACGGTGTACAGAGAAATCACAACATGTATTCAAAATCGCATCCTTTGACCTCAATACATTTGCTCAGTCGCTTTTCGAAGTGTCCAACAATGGTCGCGCATTCTTCTACTGTAATTTCGTCACAAGCACGCAGTAATGCTGCTTTCAAATGATCCACCGTCACGCATTGGATTCCTGAGATTTTCTGCTCCAAGATAGACTAAACGGAGTAATCCATCGGGTTCAGATCAGGCGAGTTGGAAGGATAAATGTCCTCGCCCCAAAATCCCGGAAGCAGCTCTTCGCAGGTGGATTGGGCAGACTGCAGTGGAGCCCAGTTTTGCTGAAGCACAAATCCATCTGAACCAAAGTGCTGCGACGTCCATGGCTTCAGTACATCGCGAAGAACGCACTGTTGATAGTTAGCAGCATTGATTTTAAGGTTACGGTCGATGAAGACGAGTGGAGGTTTTCCGGTGACACAGATCCCAGCCCAGACCATGACTGAGGCTGGAAAGTGCCTATGGCCGACGGGTTTCGCTGCCGTTGTCTTCTGCTGACCCTTCTTGAGTAGTACAGACAATTCTGGTGGTTGTGTACAGGCTCGATCGTGGGAATTTTTCGTCGGTGAAGAGCACATTTTTCAAGCGACCAGCACCGACCAGACGACGCATCCTGCGAGCTTCGATCTGGGAAGCAAAGGAGGCAATTCTGAACACATGTTGTGATTTCTCTGTACACCGTCATCGCTACTGGTCTAATGAAGATTTCCGAAAGTTTAGGTTCGCTGGTTAAGTTAATTAAATGGCACTTTTACGATACCAAAGTATTTCGAAAAATTGCCAGAACTTTTTGGTCATCGTGTATACCATTCTTATTTTAAATCGGACACTTTCAAATCATATGGGCACTTTTTCAAATAATATCGGGCATTTTCCGAATCAAATCGGGCTCACACAAAACCCGGAGGTCTGTTGCGAGTGTCGAGCGAGACCACGACCTGTCGTGTGAGACTCTAGCCTGCCTTTTTGAATTGTTTTTTGAAAGTGCGAAGAGTGTTTCTGTGAAGTGGGCGGGGGTTCCTCGTAGTAGAAATTCAAGATATCCAAAAATGCCGGAAGAGATGTTGCTGGGTTCAGAAACTTTTTGCGCGCATTTTTGCGACTTAAATGTATTCGCCGTACACTCCAGAAAGTAGGATATATCTTACTGGCGAAGGGTGAGGGCTTAACCACGTTAATCATCTGTCTGTTCACTAAGCCAAGCAGCTTCAGCTAGTTAAATGAAAGGAAATATTTTCAGGCCATGCATTGCTTTCATGATTCTTTTCTCTAATTAACCCATTCTATTTCCTTTCAGGGCCAACATTTGCTGTCATCACCCATGAGTATCCTGATGTTTTGTCCTCGTTAGTATGTGTATGCGATGTTTTTGCTCGAATGGCTCCCGACCAGAAACAGCAGCTTGTTAATGGTCTACAGGAAGTGGGTTATACTGTAGCCATGTGTGGAGATGGTGCCAACGATTGCGCTGCTTTGAAGGTAATTGTCACCCATTGGGCTCACGATTTCCCGTGAATGTGAACCCTTTTCAGGCAGCGCATGCTGGCATTTCCCTCTCCGATGCAGAAGCTTCCATCGCAGCTCCATTTACTTCAAAGGTTGGTTCAATTTTTTTTGAAGGCTCTCCAAGAAGCAAGCTCATTTGTCTCTAGGTTGCGGATATCCGTTGCGTGCCCACAGTAATCAGTGAGGGGCGAGCAGCGCTGGTAACTTCTTTTGGTATTTTCAAATACATGGCTGGTTACTCACTAACTCAGTTCGTAACCGTGATGCTTCTCTATTACATCTCTAATATCCTCACTGATGGGCAGGTATGACACAGTCTCTGGTTTTGTTTTCGTTTTCTGATTTTTCGTATTTTCAGTTCATGTACATTGATATGTTTTTGATCACATTGCTAGCGGTTTTGTTTGGAAATACGTCAGCTTATGAAAAATTATGTCCTACACCTCCTCCAACACGACTTCTATCGGTGGCAAGTATTTGCAGTGTGCTGGGTCAGCTAGCCATTATGGGCGGAACGCAGGTGATTTCCCTCATTCGCAAGATTCAATAATTTACTTGAGTCCGTTCTGTTTCTATTTTCTTAGACGCGTTCAGACTTCGCGATCGTGCAACCCTATAGAGCGGCCTGCTCGCGATCGCGTACTCTGAACGCGGTCTTAGATAGCGATCTCGCATAGCAGACTAGGAAGAGGGGTCGGACATCCAGAGTTTCTAGAGTAGACTCAAAACTGGCACTCTGAGGAAGACTACTACCTGCACCACCTTAGTGCCAGTCACTACTGAAGATTTGACTAACACTCCCCGAAAGGGTTCGCTGGGTGAGATCCTGTCGCTGACAAGGTCCAGTTCACTTGGCCTGGGCATTTTTCTGGTGCCTATCGATCGCTGCTGATGCCTGCTATGTAGACCTGTGGATTCTAAAGCTTTGCAATAGCAAGGAGCTTCGATTACCTTCAAGAAAAGTCTACAGACCCCACCAAGGTAGGACGTGCGATCTGAAAGAAAGCAGCCAAAGAATCTCGCAAACGTGCTAAATACCTGCCCACGCATGCCGAGCGAAGCCTAGCGATTGTTTAGAAAATTGTCTGCTAGGTCGTTAACAGTCGATCAGTTTCTGCATTTTTCCAGCTGATTGTGTTCTTATTAACGACCAAGCAGCCCTGGTTTGTGCCTTACAATCCACCACGAGGAGCTGAAATCGAAGACAAGAGGAGCATGCAGGTTTCTATTTAATAATTCACTTCAACAATTTGATTTTCTGTGACTTGAGATGACCGAAAGATGAAGTAGAACTAATGCGATCTTTCAAGCCCCTCTTCTATCTGAATTTTATGCTTTTACAACTTCATTCAGGGAACGGCTGTGTTCTACGTATCTGTATTCCAATATATCACGCTAGTTGTTGTTTACTCGAAAGGACCTCCTTATAGAAACACGCTGTTCAGCAATCGACCATTTTGTGCCTCCATTGCGTTTGCAACCTTGGTCAGTGCTCTTTGTCTTCATTCAAGGGATTGCTAGCATAGTATATAACACGTTCCGGACCGCGTGACACACATGGTTTGTCACGCATTTGTTTCGCTGCGGTGTAACTAATTTTGGCTTTTCTTTCGTGTTCTAACGTTGCCAAAAAACTTTTTCTGGTTGCGGGAAATACATACCTCTTGAGCGATCGAAAAAAGGAGGAAATCACTGTTGAATTATTGGTCAAAATTGATGAAGTGATGACGCAGCGT